TGGGCTCTACACCAGACCGCGTGTGATCCTGGCGGAGAAGTGCCAGCGTGTTTGTGGAAGTCTGTTCAGTGCTCCCCGTGAACTGTCTCTGCACCCAGACAGTGAGACGAGGAGGCTGGCATGGAAGCAGACAGAAAGGCCAGTCTGATGGGCTCACTTCTCTCCTTCACCCTGAGTGCTGACTGCTGCCTACAAGACTCCCGCCTTTATTGGGCTCTAGGGGGAAGCTTCCTATGCTGTCAGTCACAGTCCCATATGGAGTCTTGTAACCAAACATGGGGGTTGCAGAAATTTGCCAGCAGTAAAAGATTTCTGAATGACCCAAAATGAACGCAGAATCAGTCGCATAATGAATCCGAGGTGTTTCTGGCAGAACCAGCCCGTGTTAGAAACGTCTGCCACATGGGTGGCGAGGGGACAAAGGGTGAACAGGCCAGCCAGAGAGGTCATCTTCACGGCGCTCACAAGCCCCTCGGCTCCTGCTCTCGGCCCCCCACCCCCTTTTACTAATTAAGCTAAGCCACTGCTTGGGTTAAAGATGGTTTTAGGGGAGCCTCCTTCAGTTTCAGGTTGAAATGTCTCCTCAGGGCAGTCATTGCAGGGGTCAGCGAGCCTCGGGGATGCCAGAGTTTTACTTCTCATCACCGACTTGACTTTGGCCTCCTTGCCCTTTCTGCTTATCATTTTCATGGTTTGTATTGTTGTGTCATTTTTGTGTTGTGTGACTGCTGCCCTGTGCCCTCTCCTAGAGGACCCGTGGAAGGGCACAGGCCAGGGCACAGTCTGCTTTGTTTGCTGGTTGAACTCCGTGTCCTGGATTCACTGCCTGTCACGTAATCGAGGCCCAGTAAAGGATGTCTGACAATCAGAAGTAAGGCACTATGGAAGCAGGTCGAGGGCTTGAGAGAAGGGTTAGTCATGAAGGGTTAAGAAGGGTGGCCCATTGGGGAACCCAGAGGCTGGGGGCCATGTGGTCACAGGCCTGGCAGTCTGCCCACTGGCCATCCTGGTGGGGCCCCCGGAGCATCTGGGAGACCTCCAGGTAGTCTCTGCCTTCAGAATCAACAACAACAATGGAATGTTTAAGGGTACCTGCATGAAGTTAATGTTTTAATGGTGTTTTCTTGTTGAGGTCACTAACTCCTCCTTTCATCAAGGAAATGGGAATTTTGACCATGTTCGTAGTGTTTGCTCCTCTTTGGTTGTCTCAGTTCATTTGGCATCATGTCTCCGAGCGCCATCCTCCGGTGGCACGTGTCACCACTTCTGTTCTTCGCAGGGCAGGGTAATATTCCACCGGATGTGTGCACCACTCTTGGTTTACCCACGTAGCCAGTGATGGGTACTCAAATGGCTGCCATCCGTGGGCTGCTATGAAAAGTGCCGCACTGAACATTGGTGTACAACCTTTCCATCTCTGCTCTGAAGTGTTTGGGGTCTCGTGGACCACATTCTGGGACTGGAAGTGCAGGGTCGCCTGGTAGTTGCCCTGCTAGCTCCTTGAGGAACCACTGCATTATTTCCTGCAACAGCTCTACCATTGTGCATTCCTGCCAGCAGTGGCTAAGGCTCCCTCACATCTCCCGACACTTGCTGTTCCCTCATCTTTTTAAAGGAGCCCTGGTGGCATCGTGGTTCTTAGTTGGGCTGCTAACCGCAAGGTCAGCAGTTTGAAACTTCTAGCAGCTCCTCAAGAAAAAGATGGGGTTTGGGGGCTTTCTACTCTTGTAACAAGTTAACTCTCAGAAACCCACAGGGACAGATCTGTCTTGTCCCACAAGGTCATTATAAGTTGGCATCGACTTGATGTCAGTGAGCTTATTGTTTGTTTTTTGTATTTTTAAAAAAATCTAAGCTGTTCTGAAAGTGGGTGTGGCTTGCACCTATGTGGCTTTCATTTGAATCTCACTGAGGGCGAATGGCAGTCATGAGATGTCTCCCCCCACGTTTGGAGGCCATGTGACCATTCTCTTTGGCATAACGTCTATCAAACCCCTTGCTCATTTTTCTCTTGGGTTTTCTTTTCTTTAAGTTGTTGATGTTTTATATATGCATATACTTTGGGTATTAGATTCTTATCAGATATATAGTTCCCAAAGATATTATCCCAGCCAATAGCTTGTCTTTCTACTTTTAGTCTTTTGATGAGAAAAAAACAAAACACTTTAATTTTCATGAGATCCCATTTATTCAACTTGTCTTTGGCTGTTTGTGCATTTGTTGTATCAGAGCTGGGCCTGACAGGCGATCCTGCATTGTCTTCTAAGGATTTCATGGCTTTCTTTTTCACAGTTAGGTCGTCGATCCACTTTGAATCTGTCTTTGTGTATGGTGTGAGACAAAGATTCTATTTCATTTTTCTGCATGTGGAAATCCACTTTTTCTAGCACTCTGTATTGAAGAGACCCTTCTTTTCCAGCAATGGACTCGAGAACTGGACGGATTCTTGCATGCATGACTTCAAGGGGTCACTAACCCAGAGGGCTCTTGGGCCAGAATGAGTTTAACCAGCTTTCAGCAGTGAGCATTTCCTGAGTGCTTGCTGCCCTCAGCCTCCCGAACTCAATCACCTCCGGCCCACCTGCCAAGGAAAAGAATAGTCAAGGCCCAGCCCTGCCCTCTCTTTCCAAAAATCAGTCTGTCCCTGCACCCTACAAGGGTTTGTTTGTTTGTTTTTTTCCTTTCTGTGTTAGACAGGGTTCTCTAGAGAAACAAAACCAGGACACTTATGATTCTGTATACACACACACACACACACACACACACACACAGCAAGAAGGTATATAACAGCTAATTAGTTCACACAGCAGTACAGAGGGCTCAGTTCAACTCACTTCTATAAAACAGTTAATATGCTGGAAGTCCTTCAACTCACGAGGGCTGCTGGGCCCAATGTCAAGGAAGCAGACAGCAGAGTCTTCTGTAGAGCAATGCAGGCAGTCTGGCTAGACGCAGCAAACAGCAGGGCTGCTCACCAACAATGAGCCAGATGACAGGGTCCAACAGTCCCACACTCAAGCGATGCACACACCAGCAGCGTGGCAAAGCAGGTCTCAAAGGAACCTCAAGCTCTAGCAACGTGATCCATGGGTTGACTGTCCCACAGGTAGGGTAGTTCACAAGTTGAGGCAGAGAACTAGCTAAGGCAGCCGCACACTGGTCCGCTCACCAGAGAGCAAGAGAGAGGGAGGCAAGGCTCACTGAGCCATTTATCTCGTTGCCCTCCAATTAAACTGAGACCTTATTAGTTCCACATGTTCTTATTGGCCAGGTTGGCACAATAAATCTACCTATCACACTTCCCTTCAGTTTTTCATTTTGAAATCATTTGAGACATAAGGACTGGGTTGTCTTGTTTTGTTTCCTCAGCACTGGGGCAGCTTGGGGAGCCCTGGTGGTGTAGTGGTTACACATTGGGCTGAGATCCGCATGGTCGGCAGTATGAAACAAGTAATTTCTAGAGAAAGACTGGGCTTTCTACTCCTGTGAACAAACCACAGGCTCGGAAACCCACAGGGCATTGCCAGGAGTCAGTATTGATGGCAGTGAGCTTGGTGTTGATTGGGCAGCTTTGCTCAATGTAACGGGGAGGACAGAAAGAAGCAGGAGGAAATAGGCAGCTTAGTTTCTTAGAAACACCCAACAGTGTCTCCCAGCCCTGTGCCACTACCTCTCTCTGTGGCCTCTGATTGTGGGGTCCAGCCCCACAGCCAAACGGTCCTGCGGAGCGAGGTGCACAATGAAAGATGGCAAAGAAAGAAGACAGCGGAGTGCAGGGGACTCCGTTCTCTGGAGATTTGGAGGGGAGAAGAGTCTTGAGCGTATTAACAGTGGGTTCTGTAACTCTGGAGGCATGCAGGCCTCATGGTGCACATCCACATCAAACAAAAGGCAAGGTGCTAAGCTGGAGTATTCCAAGCCTGCAAGGGAGTCCCAGGCATGCAAGATCAAGACGAAGGGGCACAGAGAAGGGGTGTCCTTTAACTGCGTATGTGAGGAGCCAGGCCAGGCATCTGGAGGAGACAGCTTTATGTTAGCGTGTATGGGGGGTGGATGTGAGGTGCAGAAACGTCGTTCCAGGAATTTGTGCATGGAGGTGCTTTCCCTATCTCAGACAGTGGAGCCAGGCCTCTCACGAGGGATGGCGGGCCAAGCCTGTGGTCACGAGTGCACTTGCTTCCAGGTCCTCAGTCTCCCACACCCGATGAGCTGGCTTCCTGAGAGCTCATGGCACACCTTAGCCATTAAGAGTGACCAGGACTCTCTCATCAGGCCTCTGCCTGTTTCTCTGTCTCTCTCCCACCAGAAAGTTAGCAAGTGATGGTCTTCCATGATCCTGATAGCACATTCATGTGGGTCCTTCCTCTGTTAACATGCAGTGATCAAGGCTAGAAATGGGACGATAATGTGGCCATGTGTTATTTATTCCACTGTCTGGTTCTACCACACCACAACACGGACCGTCTTTCTTCTAGCATAATACTAAATTAGTTAGTTACCTGTAAAACAAGGGCAATCGGAGCCACCTAAGGATCCCTGGTGGCACAGTGGTTAAGTGCTTGGCTTCAAAAGGAAAGGCTGGTGGTTGATTCCACCAGCCGCTGCTGGGAGAGTGCTGTGGCAGTCTGTGACTCAAACGATGACAGCCAGGGAAGCCGCGGGCAGCTGTGCACTGCCCCAGAAGGTCGCTCACGGTCGGCAGAATCCAGCTGATGGCAGTGGGTTAGAAGCCTGCCCCCACCCCGCAGGTACATTATAAATGGAAGACGCATAAATGAAGATTCCTAAAGCGTGTTGCGCATCCCAGGTGCAAACTGTTAGATGCCAGCCGTTTTCAGCTGATGGGATCAATTTCGAAGGACTCTGGGATTCACTGATTCTGGGAGGTGGTGGTTGGGATCTTGGTGAGGGTGTTCTGAGCCCTAGGAGAGCAGTGGTCACCAGGGGGTGGCGGGGGCAGCCCGGCGCGACTTCAGGCGTGTTCTTTGTGCTCCCCACAGGCAAATACGTGTACCAGCCGATGACCCCGGTGGAGCAGCTCCCGAGCACCGAGATCCCCGCGCAGCCTCAGGAAGCCACCAACTCCATCCAGATCTCCGTCTCCCTCACGCAGCACTTTCTGAAGTTCGCGTCCGTCTTCCAGGCGCCCGTGCCCCCCGACGCCCCGAGGTACTGCACGATCTCAGACCTGTTCCTCGACAACTACCAGGTGAAGTGCATCAACGGGAAGATGTGCTACGTGCAGAAGCAGCCCGCGCTGCCCGCGCCGCCCCCGGGCGCCGAGGAGGGCTCTGCCCACGATGCCTTAATCTCCACCGAGAGCAGTTCGCCAAAAAGAGAGCCCTGCGCCTCCCCGTCGAGCTCGGAGGACTCGGGGATCAACGCGCTCGGGGCCCACTACGTGGAATCGTGCGACGAGGACACGGAAGAGGGGGCCGAGCTGAGCTCGGAGGAGGATTACAGCCCCGAGAGCAGCTGGGAGCCGGACGAGTGCACCCTCCTGTCCCCGTCGCAGTCGGACCTCGAGGTGATCGAGACCATAGAGACCACCGTGTGAGGCCCGGCCGCCGCTGCCCGTGCGGAGCCTTCCCCAGCCCCCTTCCAGTGCAGCGGCCATTGTCGTACCCCCGCCCCCAGCAGCTCCGCCGTGTGCCCGGCTCAGCTTCTCACCGGGGTTCCCTCTGTGTACCGACTGACTTTCTCTGTAGCAAAAGGCACCGCAAAGCGCTGTGAGCCAGCCTTAATTTCCCTGGGGTCGTGACAGGCGCTGCAGGGGACACTGCAGTGGGCGTGGGCCAGTCTGAGGGGCTCCCCAAGGTGGAGGCCCCGGCATGCCTGCTGGCCACCTCCATCTGTGTCAGCGCCCACTACCCCCTGCGGACACGCCCCTGCCCTCCTCCCACGCCTGCACTGGGCCCCAGGGAGGCCCAGCTGGAGCCAGCTCTGACCCCGGTTCCGCCCGGTGTCCACACGCCCTGCGGGAGCTAGCCCTTCATCCCCTAGAGATGGCTTCTTCCGTCGGGCTCAATCCATCTGTGGCAGAGCCTCCCTCTGCAGCCTGCTAACCACGGAAGAGAAGAGCCCCTGAAGGGGTGACACTGGCTATCAGGACCTAGGGGGAGAGGGGAGGGGCCCACGGGGATGCTGGTGCAGTATCCCAGCGCGCCCCTGCTTTTTTTAATTGTTCCTCCAATCTGGGGCAACATTTAGCAAGTTATATAGGTATTATATTTATGAGGCAGCCATGGCTAAAGACGTAAGAAATGAAAAATAATAGTTTTAGTTATTAGCATGGAAGTGCTAAAGCAAGCCGTCCTTTAGGGATTCGGAATGAATCTAATAGGTTTGATGAATTCTGCTTCATTTGGTTGTATGAAGCATTAGAATGACTTGGGTGAGAAATGGGGTAGGATTCCGTGTGATGCATGGGCTTGTATGCAAATGAAGAGCAGTTGAAACAGTTGGCTGCTGAGTCAGGAGAAACTCTTTTCTGTAAAATGCATCTGCTTCCCTATAGCAATCTTCATGGTCTTTGCACACAGTGTCTCTCTCACACACACAGAGTAGCTGCGAATTCCAAGTCCCTACCCAGCTCCATTCTGATCCTGTTCGTAATCTCTGTTTGCATCAGGCATTCCTGCTGGGAGTTGGTCACCTACCCTTTCCCCACACCTAACATCCGCGAGGCACCACTCCAAGTCCAGGAAAAGTGAAATAGGGCCTCTGGAAGCCAGCACTATCCAAATGTGCTCCCTGCCTCCCGGCCCAGCTCTTCCCTCTCCTCGGTCACCCCCGGCGGAGCGAGTGCCTGCCCTCCCTGCAGCCTCCCTCTGGCCCTCTCCAGCGCCTGTGGTTTACTAGGACTTCTTGCCAGGCTGAGGGGCCAGGACCAGCCATGGGGCGGAGTCGGCACTGGTAGTTGAAAGCCCTACAGGGATGAGAATGAAGCATCAAGGTCCCCCTCCCTGAGATGTAAAGGCTGAAAAGGCCCAACCCGCAGAAAAGGCCCAGGGTGGAAGGCCCAGGCCCAGGAGAGGGCAGGGGAGACTGCTGCAGGCCGGGGGCTTTCCCTTCCCGGGGCAGCTTCTCTGGTGCCAAGCTGAAGGCTGGCCTGGTCAGGCCTCTGCCTGTGAGCCAGTGAATCTATGGCCGGCAGGCGGGCGTGGGCCTGTGCAGACCACCTCCCTGAATCGCCCTGGGTGGGCACACTGAGGGCTGTCTTTCTCTGAACAGAGACCAGCCACTGAGGCGCCATTGCTGTGAAGGCACCTGCTCTCCCAGGCCTCACTCCTCCAACGAGGGCAAGGTTCAGATGCAACCTTTTCTCCAGAATACCTACGACATTTGCCTGGGTCCCTGTTTTTTAAAATTCTGAGCTGCCATTCCAATTAGCCACAGTTTTAATGGAACTTTCAGATTTAATAATGGTGGGTAAATATTTGCACAATCTCTTTATAATTAAAAGCTCACGAAGCTTCACTTACTACTATGTCTTTTATAGAGCTGCTCCGCTGTATTCTAAGTGTCAGATGCTCCTGGAGCTCAAAACAGCCTTTCCTGGGTAAGCACAAGCAGGAGATGGTTTCTGTCCTTGCACTTTCAATATCAGCAATCCTCGGAGAATCTTACGCACTGAACCAGTTGTTTCTCTGCTGCGCTGCAGAACTGGGGAGGACATGAGCAGCTATAGTGTCAACTGAAGCTCTACGCCTTTTCTGTCGTGTACTCTGGAAAAAAGTCTCTGTAATCCTCATGTTATACTGCTAACTTGTACAAACATATTTATGGGCACTTTAGAAAATGTTTAGACTGCCATGTGGACTGCAGGCACTGAACACAGGCATATTAAACAGCCTCTGATTAATGGTTGAACACGGAAAGCGGTGGAAGACTTACCATTTTGACTGGGGAGTGCTTGGTTCCGCATATGGAACCAAAGGTGGGCCAGTGGGGATAGATGCACCCCTTTCCGAGGCTTTTGAGGACACCTGACATTGCTCGCATGTTTCCAAAGTTTGTAGAAGAGCTATTAGGGAAGGCATACAAAACAAATCCTGTGTCAAATGTAGCTTTCTATTCCAGCCGAGATTAGAATTGACAACAGTTCCAAGCATGCCCTTAACTTTTCTAAGAAAGGATAATGCCGTTAACACGCATTTATGGTTTGTAACTATTTGGTACATTAAAAAATATGGCTTTCAGATCTAGCGGGGGGTGGTGTTGGGGATTTGCTGCTTTGTTTTATATTGTGGCTTTTAAGGTTTACATGTGAGGGAAATTCTCAAGGGGGCTTGCTTTCCAGGGAGGGAAAGCCTTCAGCCCAGTTAAGATACGAGACAAAGTATGACCAACCGAGCCAGTCTTCTTCCTGACATGCTTTTTGGGTTTGCCTAGGGTTTGATTTTATCTTTGGACTCCTGGTTTTCTTTATGAACCTCCGCTTTCTGGCCTATTTAATACATCGGGATTCCTTTGGGACTGATCATAACACTCTTTCCCACAAATTTAATTCTCTACTTGGGTAAGAGGAGGCAACAGATCATTGAGAAAGCTGTCAAAACACTCGTAAACACTACTGGGCCAAAAAGAAAGATAAAAACACAAATTCAATCATAAACACTACTGGGCAAAAAAGAAAGAAAAAAAACAAATTAAATCATTTATATAGTCACCTCTCGACTATTCCTATTTCTTGTTTGCACAATTTCACGGGCACGTCTTGGCTTCTTCCACGAGGAGAATGAGGTGTTCGCAGCTTTCTGCCGCGGCCTCCTCGGCGTTGAGCAGAGGGCGGGAGAGCTTGTCACCCAGGGACACTGTGCTGCTGTGAAGTACAAAGGCGCTACTCAAAATTAATTTAGGAAATTAGAGTTGTGTGCATCCCAGCCCTCTGTGATGACCATGGGTAATCGAGAGCCTTACACCGGAGCAGGGCCGCTCTGAAGGCCGGTCCTCGCGAGAGCCTACCTGCTGGCCTCCACACCGTCATCCACGCCATCATCACGCCACCATCCACGCGAGTCTGTGCACACTTTGCAGAGCCGTTCACACTTTGCACTCCTCACTGACTGCAGCTGTTTGTAAAACCTGCCTCTTTTCAAGTGTGAAGCACAATGTTGACTCTTCTGTAATTTCCTACAATTACCTTCTGTTTTCCTACAGACACTCAACCTTTGTGTATAACACTTTAGGAAAATACCTTGTAAAATAAATGTGTGTTTTGGTTTTTCCCCCTTTTATCCCGGCACAAATCTGATACTTTGAAGTGTGGAGTTTTTCACCCTCCCACCAGAGCGTGTCTGTCTGATGGCGATAACATTATATGAGCTAAAAAAGAGAGACCACATTTGCAAATGAACACTTTCTCGGGTGCTTTCTGTGGGCCAGGACCAAGGCAGCTTGTGTGCATCATCCCCTTGCAGAAGGGCCGTGGCGGTACGGGTGGCTGAGCGCTCTGCACTGCGCCCAGCGGGGGACAGACCAGGAGAGCTGCCTGTATGAAGACTAGAGGCAGGGGAACCCCACGAATCAGTTCCTTGGCCTGGAGTCACTGTGAATTAACAAGGACCTGCGTGCGCCACACCTCCAGCAGCGGCAGCTGGGAAGTCCCCGAGTAGCTCAAAGGACCCCTGGTGACAGTAGTTACAAGCTGGGCTGCAATCCTCAGGGTCAGCAGTTCAAAACCCCCAGCTGCTCTACAGGAGAAAGATGAGGCTCTACTCCCACAAGAGTTACAGCCTCAGAAGTCCACAGGGTTTCTACCTTGCCCTGAGTTGGAACAGACTTGACAGCAGTGAGTTTGGGTAGCTCAAATGGCCCAGTGCTGTACTCCTAGCCAAGAGGTTGATGCTTCAAACCCAGGTGGTGGCGACTGGGCCCATGCCCATTCCACCACAGCAGCTGACCCTGGTCTACATCTTGGGTGTGTTCTCGACAGCAGGCTGAGGAGTGAGCTTCACCTGCGAGCCTCGCCCTGTCCTGGGTCCCAGGTTTTGAACCCAGGAAAGGAAGCTTAAGACTTCATAGTTAATGCACTGAAGGGTTAATACCCCAGCTCCCCAGAATGCCTTTCCTCAGAACACAGCCAGTGAGGCCGTTGGTAGGTGCCTCCAGCCAGCTTGACACTGTGCACGGGGCACAGAATCACTGACCCGTCCCGTGCCATCCGCACCCGCATTGCTGACTGAAGCCATTGTTGCAGCCAGTGTCAGGCCACCATGTGGGGGGCTCTTCCTCTTTTCTCACTGCCCCTCTCCTTTACCAAGCATGCTGTCCTTCTCCAGGGATTGGTCTCTCCTGATAACATGGCCAAAGTACGTGAGATGAAATCTCACCATCCTCTATCTAAGGAACACGGGTTAGTGAGTGCATAACCCCTGACCCTGGGAAGCCGGAAACTCGCAGCCTGGAGTTGCCACCAGCCTGGAGCCTGACCATTTAGAATGAGGCAAGTCCCGATGGGTAAGCCGGGTTGTGATCTGCATCCAGGGGTCTTCCAGAACAATTGCTGAAGCTACCTAGAATAAATAAAGTATGGCTGGGTGCATTGAAAGCACAAAGGCCTAGTGTCGAAATAAAAAGGTACATTACAAGCAAATGACAATCTAAAGATAATTTGAGATTTCGTAAAATTTTAGGATGAATAGCAAAAATGATTTGTCTAATCTTCATGAGTTTCCTAGCGCTGGTTACAAAGTATTGCAAATGCGGTGACTTGTAAGGATGGAGACTGATTGTCTTTGTTCTGCAGGGCTGGCATCTCGGGCGTTGATGGGGCCAAGTTCTCTCTGAAGGCTCTGGGGGAGGGCCCTGCCTTGTCGCTCAGCTTCCAATGCCCTTGACTGTAGCTGCAGTGTAACTCCATTGTCATGTGGCGGTCCTGCGGCTGCCTGTCCCTGTGGGTCTCTACGCTAGGATTAGGAACTCTACCGTATTCCAGTGTGACTTCATGCAAACTGGAAACATTTCCAAAGACCCTATTTGTGCACCCATCCTTTAAACATGTCCTCCCTCTGGTAATGAACAATAAAAAGAGCAGATCAGGAAAGCCGGCACACCTACCTGCTCGTGTGAACTGAAATGAGGGCGGTGCAGGCCTGTCCTGTCCTCCAAAGGACCAGGGAAATGGGCTGCTTATCATCATGAGGGCCAAGCAATGCATTCGCAGAGCCCCCAGGGCGTCTGTCCATGAGTTCAGCTACTGGGCTAAAAGCCAGGGCCCAAGTGAGCACGGATTTTCTGCTGCAAGTCTTGCTCTGTGGCGAGCTCAGCTTCCTTCTCACAGCTCAAAGTGCCAGAGAAAACGAAATCAGAATTTCCCCACGACCTTTGTGAAGCCCACTTGGATCTTAACAGAAATGGCGGCTGAGAGAGGTTACGTGACTTGCCCGGTTGCTAAGTACCTGAATGGGATCTACTCAGATCTATATTCAAAGTTGGCCAATTAACTATGTTGCTGTATTTCTTTCTGTGGGTTTGGTAGCGTCAGTCCTTCCCTAAGAGCCTGCTCATCTCCGAGTGGACCTGTAAACTGGAGCAGCTGCATGACTGAAGTGAGGACCTCGGCCTGGGCGGTGGTGACTTCCTGTGGTGGCTGGCTCAGTGCCCTGGGACACGTGGGGGTGAGCAGCCCAGGGTGCTGGATGGAGGTGCCGTGGGAGCAGGCTGGGCCTCCGCAGCACCCCCACTGCAGCCAACAGTGAGCTGCAGACCGGCTCTAGCAGCCCCCATGATGGACAGATGCGCGCACAGCTGCCCCAGGTCTGCAGAGCCATTTATTGTTTGGAAGGGCAAGGTGATTCACATGGGCTTTCACAGCCAGACCAGAAGGGTGCCTGCCCTGCCCAGGGGTTCTCCCTGGCCAAGAGCGGCAGGTGCTGAAGCCCCTGGGTGCTGCTGACTGTGTGTGTGTGTGTGTGTGTGTGTGTGTGTGTGTGTCTGACAGACCTGTGCCAGCTGGGGGAGGGGGAGTCTTACAGACCCTGTGGCCCAGCTGATAAGTGGGGGGTGGAGTGCCAGCTGCCCCAGGCTTGGGGGGAGGCAGGAGAACGTCCCAATGGCTGAGCTCATCCCTGGCGTTCTTTCTGCCCAGCGAGGAAAGCAAGCGGTCAGTGGTCAAGTGGGTGGGAGAGGCTGCTGCAGACCCTGCTTGCCAGTGGGCTCCGATGGGCCGTCTTCAGGGCCGGCGGCTCAGTCCTCGGTGGCCGGAGGGGGGATGAGGTGCAGCTGGAAGTTCTCGTTGTGGAAGATGCTGTGGAAAGCAGGGCTGCTGTGGGTGCCGCTGAAGGGCCTGTAGGCCTCACTGCTGCGGTTCTGGGAGAGCTCGGTCAGGAGGGCCAGCTGCAAGGGAGGGACACACGTCAGCAGAGGCGGCCACCACTGGGAGGGGCATGTGGGGCAGAGGTGGATGGGCCCTGAGCTGGCTGCCTCAGACACACATGGGGGAGAGAAAACAAAAAGGTGCAGTGCTCCAGTTAGCCTCAAACAAGTCATGTGACCTTGGTTAAGTGCATCCTCTCTGGGTAACTTCCGGACCGTGACCCTCGGACAACAGAGCTACTGATCCTGCCGCCCTGAGCCTCCACAGGGCTTGGTTTCGTTTGGAGAACAGCAGGCTCCTTTGGCGGTGACTTTATGGCCCTCGCTGCTGTGGGCAACCCTTGAGCTGAGGGTTCCCAGCTTCAGCACCCCAGTTCCACGGGCCCCATCTGGTCTGTGGACCTGAATCCCAACCACTGGCTCGGACTGTGGTCTTAAGCTGTCAAACCCAGAGCACCAGCCTGGGAGGAGCTGGGCTGTGTGTCTAAGGATGCCAGGACAGAAAAGGCAGTGTTTAAGGGGAGAAGGACACCCTAAGAGAGAGGGTGGCTCTTAGCAGCAAGCTAGCAAACCCACTGGGCTGAGTAACATGGTCACAGGAGGTCCTGGTGATGGGGCCGGTGCCACCACGAGCCTGCTCTGCAGCAGGGGATGGACCAGGTCATTCCCGAGGCACAGGCTCTAGGCATGGAAGACAGGTGTGGGCCATCAGGGTAATGTCCAATCGGAAATGCCTATCAGATCCTACAGTGCAAGTGACCCCACAATTCTGTCTCCTCTCCAGTTACAGTTTAGCAGTGGTGTTAGGCCACAGCTTTGGGGATTAAGACGGCGTTTCCCAGCCTCCACTGCTGCTGGCCGTGGTCCTGTTCAGGACGTCTTGCTGGCTGGGATGCAGATGCGATGGCTGGAACCAGAACCATGGGGCTATGAGCCACCTGTCGCAGCTAGCAGGACCACAAGATAAAATAGAGCTGGGGGTGCACAGAAGGGCCTTGGATGGCAGGCAGTTACACGTCACCTGTTCAAGGCACTCTTATTCTGCACTTGTCTTTCCTGGCTCAAATGAATTCTACCCGTGCGGATGTCCAGCAGGGCCGTGGGGCGGGACTGGTGGAGCATCAGGATGAGCAGAGGCCTCCCAGGTGAGGGCGAGTTTCGGGCTTGCCCTCTTGGGGAGAGGACACACCTGGGAAGAGACACCCCACCCCCCGTACCCTGGCTAGGCTGATGATCCAGAGGGTCTTGTGGGGGTTGGGGGTGGTAGAGAGGAGGCTAGGATGAGGACTTGGGGCATACATTCCAAAACAATGTATCACCCGTAGGGAAAGAAGGGGGTGAGCCACACAGACATTACCCTGGAGCCTCCTCGGTAGAGGCGGCAAAGCTGATCAAATGCTTGAATTTGCTGTGGATCCAGAACTGGTTCTGAGGGTACCTGAGAAATCAAAAGAAATCAAAAGGTCACTAAGAGCACGTGCTGGGTCCACGGCAGCTGCCCTGCCTCCTGGGGGGCTGCTGCTTCTGGTATCCCTCTAATAGACCTGGAGAGAGCCCTCTTACAGACCCTGCTTACCTGAGAACTGGCTGCGTCCCTCTCCAGGCATGCCTGGTTCTCAGGTGGTCCCCGAAACGCCACAGGGACCCTTAGAGCCTCTGAGCTTCTTGGCCTGCCTGGCCCTTACAAGACCGTGCCATCCCGCCTGCATTTCCATTTCCCACACTTCCTGGCCAGTGAGGGCCCTTTCTTTGTTGAAGGATGCCTTCCGGAGGGCAGACCACTTCCTCCCCGACACAGCCCTCCCACAGTGCTGCAGGACCTCTTTATGGGAGCACACAGCCTCCTCTGTTTCTGGGCCGGTGCCGGGGGGTGGGGGTGGGGGTAGGGGGGTGTTCAGAGAGCAGCCCAGGGCTCGATCACCGCACCAACCTGGGCTCCCTAACCTCACACCCAGAGAGGAAAAATGGGGTCCCAGGCTGAGTCTGAATTCTGGTTCTGACACTACTCAGCGCTCGATGTGACCGCAGGTAGTCCTGCCTCACGTGTGCCCGAGAGAGAGGGATGCTGGCTGTGCTGCTTGCTGAACACCAGCTGGGCTGAGGCACCTGGTTCAAGAGCCCTGGCCCGCCGGCACCAGGCCTCAGCAGATGCTGTCTTGTATCGCCAGAGCCTAGCGCTGATTGCTCTCAGTTGATAGTGCAGGCGGGTGTGCATCTTGTTGCGAGGTGCCATCGAGTCTGTTCTGATGCACAAGCGTCCCTATGCTCGAGCCCACTGCTGTCGCCCCGCAATCAGTCCACCCTCTCGTGTGCTGCCTGTGGTTCCTCGTGACACCGTGTCCAGTGGGTGGAAGGTTCATCTCCAGTCTGCTCCTCTGTCCCAGAGCGCAGCTATGAGTTGGAATCAAACGGGCTGCGCGGCGGTGGGTTTGGCGGTTTGTTCATGAGCAGAACCATCGTATTGGTCTGTCCCAACTAGGTCACGGGCCGTGGCTCCTGTTGACCCCCGCCCCCCCTCTTCCAGAAGGCAGAGGCGGAGCTCCCCCACCCCCGCCCCCCACAGGTGGCTGCCAGCAGAAGGGGCGTGTCAGGGAGGAAACGGTGTGTCATCTGCAAGGCATTGCTCAACAAAGAAAGGGCCCTCCCTGGCCAGGAAGTGTGGCCGCGATGCTGGACACTGTGTCGCCTGAAGGTCAGATGGCAGCAGGGTCACCCAAGGTGGCCGGTTTCCATGGAGCTTGCAGACTAAGCACCGACTTCGGAGGAAGTAGGAAAACCTTATGTGTGGGCATCCAATAAGCCCGGGCCACTGCGATAGATCATAGGGCAGGACAGCACTGCCCCGGGTTTCAGAGACTGGAACTGTTTTCGGGAGTAGAATGCACTTTTTCCCGCAGAGTGGCTGGTCGTTTTGAACTGCAGACCTTGAAGATTGCAGCCCAAGAAGTGCTCACTACGTCACCAGGGCTCCTGTGCATGTACACAACTAGCAAAAAAGATGCCTTTGGCCCTAGGTCACTGACTGTCACAGGCTGTCCTGGCAAATGAACAAGAAAGGATCACTGCACCCTCGGCCAACATGTCTGGGGCGAGGTGTCAGGTGGGCAGGGGGAGGGCAGTGGGATGGAGGGAGCTGCCAGGGGTGGTCTGAAAACAGACTGCTTACGGACAGTCCTCACAGGAAAAGCCCCCAGACAGTGGTGCGCACAAGCAGCCGTGTTCCGGGTGTAGCGAAGTTCAGGAACCAGGGCACCGAGGAGCGACAGGCCCGCACTGGGCGCCCTCCTGTGCCGAACTCCAGTGCCATCTGCCGTGAGCGACTGGTCACTCCCCGCCCCTCTTAGAGCCCTGGATACTGGCCCATGCTAGTGTTGTTCAGGAAGAGCTTTGCTTCCCTGGTGGCGGAGTGGTTACCCATTGGGCTGCTGAAACCACCAGCCGCTCATGGGAGAGAGACGGAGCTTTCTACTCCCACAAAGAGTGACAGCCTTGCCAACCACAGGGGCCGAGCGAAGCTGTCCTGCAGGGTCCCAGAGAATGGGAACCAGCACACTGAAGAAGGCAGGCTGGCCTAGTGAGAAACTTCACAGTGCCACGCCCTCCACAAGCAGGGAGAGGATCTGTCTACAACTGCAGAAAGAGGCCTTCAGGGAGGCAGAGGCTGGGCCAGAATGAGGAGACAGGCCCTTGGGGGCCCTGTGGATGCTCCCGTTACCCCTCTCTCTGGGTTTGCCTAGAGCATGGGGGAATCATTCTCCCATCTGAGAACGCTTACATCTGCCCTGACGTAGTTTCAAAAACGCTTTTCCTCAATATTATTTGTAGGAAAGAAGGATCATATTCCCAGAGAGTCACCAAAAGTAAACAGTTCTTTCTGGAACGGCAAGAACTAAAGGGGAAAAAATTCAAGGCTCAAGTTACCACATTGAAAGTTTCCACGGGCAAAACCGCATCAAAGGAGAGAGAGAATACACACAAGCACTGTACCCAAAATGCCTGGTTAACATTCTGCCCTGAGCAGGCACCAATGGTGCGGACAGAAGGCGGCCACGCTGCACTGAACGCATGAGCCAGCAACAAGGCCCCAGGGGTCGACGGGCTAGCAAGGGACCAAGCTGATGAAGCACTAGAGCAGCGGTTCTCAGCCTGTGGGTCAGCCCCTTGGGGGCCAAACGACCCTTTCACAGGGGTCGCCCGATCCATAGCAGTAGTAAAATGACAGCGATGAAGTAATGTTGTGGTTAGGGGGGCGGTCACCACAACATGAGGAACTGTATGAAAGGGTCCCGGCATCAGGAAGGTTGACAACCACTGCCCTAGAAGCACTCACTTGTCTATGTCAAGAAATTAGGAAGATCTGTACCCACTGCAAACAAACAAAACAAAAGGTGACCCAACAGAATGCTCACATTATAGAACACTATCACTGATATCACACGCAAGTGGAATTTTACTGGAGAACATTTTAAATGGTGGCAGCCGTACACTGACGGGGAGCTGCCAGAGGCACAGGAGACATAGAACCAGGAACATCACTGCTGAGGTCAGATGGATCTTGGCTGAAAGCAGAGAATTCCGGAAAGATGCTTGTTTACTTGTGTTTTATTGACAACCCAAACTCAGAGCACTCGACGTTACTGTGCTCCTGTGCAGCTTGCGCGTTGTTCACGAGGCAGCTCGGGGACCGGCACAAAGCCGTACTGAGAGGTTTGCAATCAGAAAGGTGTGCCTCAGGATTTTTTTTCTAAATCATTTTATCAGGGGCTCACACAACTCTTACCACGATCCATACATACATCAATTGTGTAAAGCGCATTTGTACATTCATTGCCCTATTATTCTCAAAACGTTTCCTCTCCATTTAAGCCCCCGTCATTAGGTCCTATTTTCCCCTCCCTCCCCGCTGCCCCCTCCCTCATGAGCCCTTGATAATTTATAAATTGTTATTTTGTCATATCTTGCCCTGTCCAACGTCTCCCTTCACCCACTTTTCGGTTGTCCGTTCCCCAGGGAGGAGGTCACATATAGTTCCTTGTAATCGGTTCCCTCTTTCCTACCCACTCTCCCTCTACCCTCCCAGTATCGCCACTCACACCACTGGTCCTGATGGGATCATCCACACTGGATTCCCTGTATTTACAGTTCCTATCTGTACCAGTGTACATCCTCTGGTCTAGCCAGACTTGCAAGGTCGAATTCGAGTCATGGTAGTGGGAGCGGGGAGGAAACATTTAGGAACTAGAGGAAAGTTGTATTTTTCATCGTTGCTTCATCGCACCCTGACTGGCTCATCTCCTCTCCAAGTTCCCTCTGCAAGGGGATCTCCAGTGGCCTACTAATGGGCTTTGGGTCTCCACTCCGCACTCCGCCCATCATTCAGTATGGTAAGGTTTTTTGTTCTGATGATGCCTTACACCTGATCCCTTCGACACCTCGTGATTGCATAGGCTGGTGTGCTTCTTCCATGTGGGCTTTGTTGCTTCTGAGCTTGATGGCTGCTTGATTACCTTCAAGCCTTTAAGACCCCAGACGCTATACTTTTTTTGTGTGTCAGACGCTATACTTTTTGATTGCTGAGCACCATCAGCTTTCTTCGCCACATTTGCTTATGCACCCATTTGTCTTCAGTGATCCGTTCGACACCTCGTGATCACACAGTGCCTCAGGATTGGTGATCACACAGTGCCTCAGGATTGTGTCTTCTCACCGTACTGTGTGCCTCCGCCATGACAGTGCGCGTCTTCATTCTCCCAGGGTAGCAAGGTGCGTCCCACACGAGTTTCACTGGGAAATCTGACCTCATCTACCCTACGCCCTGGCCTTGCCCCTTCAGACTTGTGTTCCCAAAGTGCAAAGGACTTTTAAAAGGAACACGATTTGCATCCCTCGAGCTTGCCGAGACGGATCCTTTGACAGGGGGTAAGTGGAGAGGCACAGAACCTTCCAGGGCAGGCTGAGGGAGGGGAGACACCACCTTCACAGGTGTAAAGACCTAGGTGGAGGCTGCGTGGAGAAGCAAGAACTTCACTTTTTAAATACCTCTGTTCAGTTAAAGGGTCTATGATTTTGTAGGAAGACTTTGTGAGTTACTCTTGTAAAAGCCATTGTCCTAGGCAACCAGAGGGTCTCTCAGGAGTGTGGGCTGTGGCTTCCCTAGGCTAGAAGCTACATTCCTGTGGTCCAGAGGTGCCCCATTCTTGGCCAAGATCATATGGGTCTTGGTGATAAAATGAAGAAAGCAGTTTGAGGTGAGACAAGAGAGCCGTATTTATTTGTAGGAGTACCTTGGGCCTAGTAGGTGCTCACCTGTCTGAAAATCTTTCCTGGAAAGAGGGACTATTTTCAAGAAGTAGGCATCCAGAGAAGGACTAATAAATCGCCAAGGTGAGGGTTCTGTGGGGTATAATGGAGGGAGGAACAGGGGCCCTTGAAGGCAGC